ATCCTCAGCATGCGCGGCGGGGCGGAACTGCTCCGACGGTAGCGAGGCTCGTCCTCTTCATCGAACTCCAGGAAAGTGTTCTTGACCTTCGTTGTCCACGCTGGGAGTGTGGCAGCACGCATCATAATCAAAGCGCTGGCGGCGGGAGGCGCGAAGAGAGGGCGTTAAGGTCTAGCTCTTGCGTCTTTTGACAAACGGTAGCTAATTGGCTCATGTTGAACGTGAGGGAATCCAAAGAAGGCCGAAATAAAAGGACCACCACAAAAGCCGACACCTGCTTGAGCCAAAATCAGGCAGGGTTTAGGGTTTAAGGACTTGTGAGGGTCTCCCTTGTGCACGCTGGCACATTGCAAAGGCGATTCGAAACAGCCCGTTTCCGCCTGAGCTGTTGTCGTCTTTTGACCAATCCTTCGTCCGACACACACGCCAACGAAACTAAAGCTGGCACAACGGAATTTTGACTCGTGCTCGCCAGAAACCTACCCGACAATACGAAACCGATTGCAATCACACCGTGGCAAGTAATGCGATGTGCCATGTGCCATAACCCGGTCGTCCTGCTTATCGTGGCTGTCTTCCCAATCGTTCTTCGCCCAAGCGTTCTTATCCTGAGCAGCGGAAATGCCGCGTAAGCGTAGCTTGCAGGGTGTAGCATCCCGAGAAGCCACATCCACAGAGACCTTCGGAAGTGCCCGCTCTGCCGGGTCGCTATTGCACGCTGTGCGCTAGCAGAGTCTGGGCTCAGAGCCCAGTCACTTTGCTTGTACTGGCTCCATGGATCGTCGTCTTGTCCTTTGGCCTTATAAGGAGGTTGCAGCACACCTCCTCCAATCTCTGGGCGAAGGGTGTCGTGAACATGCTGGTGACTGTGGACAAGCATCCACGGAAGTGCTTTGCTCCTCCATCTACGTTCAAGTACTCTCAGCCACGGGCAAACAAGCCATGATCGGAATTTGCCAGCACTTACAATCGTGCGTTCCCTTGCCCACCCTGACGGCAACAAGCTCCGGACGTTGTGATCCTCAGGTCACAGGAACAGGACGGCAGGTCTACCCTCTGCAGACTGCCTCCATTTCAATAACCCGATTTCAACGCAGAGCGGATGCATCGACCTCTACTTGCGGGACCACAATCTTCTGATCCGGACTCAAGATCCAAACCAATAAGCACTAGACATTGTCTTTGCGGTATCTGATGAGGCTGTGGTCATGACTTCGAAAGCACTGCGGATTGAAATCTGAAATTCGAAAGCTGGTGGAAGAGAGATCTAGTCATGTCTGAAGGGACCTGCATTAGCTGCTACCTCGAGGACGTGTCAGGCTGAGACGACTAAGGCCCGGACCCAGTTGCTCTTGTTGCCGCCGTACTTTGCCCATGCGTCGCCGGCCTTTGCCTTGATTGCATCTAGAATGTGGGGCTTGGGTTCTCATTGAAATGAAAGCTGAGTCGTGTGGTAGCATGTAGAGCAAGAGCCGATCAGCATGTCGCGTGCCAAAGCAGCTTCTGAGGCCTGCACGCGGCCGTCGTTGTAGGCCTTGGGCTCAGGTTTCTCGAAAGCAAGAAAGCCCAATCTCAGGGATCTACATGAGCCACGGTCAGAAGTACTGGCTTGGCGAAGGGACGTTGATTTCTTTGTGCCTCCCGCCTGGCTAGGACATTGATCTTGGAGTTATCGTTTTTGTGGGTCCCCTATCGTTCTGAGTTCTGCAGAGCAAAACCATGTCAGGATGCTGCAGGATGCTCCTGGCTGGCTTGTGCTCGCTTGTAGTACACCTGTACTTCTCACAGACACTCTGGCTCTTCAGAGAGCAACGCCAGTACATGCACACACGGTATCGATTTTGTGGGGCCCCCTATCGTTCACCAGATCATTGCAGATCAAACCTGGATTTATGATTATCTCATGTCCGCTGTAGACTAACTCTGCTCTTCCATAGCTTCGACGGCCGCTCATTTGCTTCTCACACTGTTCCGTACCATGCCCAGTGGCAACCTTTGGCTCCGCATCTCTGGCGTATTGCCATGCGTCCTTCGAGCAATCGAAATGCAGGCTGCCAAAAAATCTCCGTGCCACGCGTCTAGAAACAAATGCTCCTGACAACAGGACTCATTACGGCCGACGGCGAACTGCAGCCACCCCCATACTCCCCGCTCGAATTGTGTGAACTTCCCACTTGAGGCACGCACCCGACTTAAAATGAGGCACGAGTAACAAACCCGTTGGGCAGCTGGGATCACCTCCCCGCTCGACTCCACCTGTGTCGTCACCTCACGAAAGCCGACTGCTGAGGCACAGTACTAGGCCAGTAGAGCAAAGAGCATTTGGAGCTTTCCTGCCATGTTCAGGCCGAAGCCTCTCGATTCGGTCTTCGTTGACCGTCATGGACTGCTGCGTGGTTTTTGTTTATGCGTGAAGGGCTACGCCGCTAGGCCATGCTCGTTGTTCCTCCTCCCTCCTTGAGGCCTCGGATGTCGACGAGCCAGGAAAGTCTTGCAGAACATCGGCATCGACCCATCCTGACGGCAGAGCCCCGAAGCACAAGATGCCAAGAACAAGCAATGGGTGATACCACCCGAGGCCCGTCAAGGCTGGCACCCCAGCCTCTGGGCTGGATCGGTACACAGAGGCTGCCATCCGGCAGCTGGCGCGGCTGATCGAGAACCACCACGGTTTGGCCGGCCTCGCCGGGTGACTGACTGGGAAGCTCGTGGCCTTCAGCTACATGCAGGCCATCCGATGGCAAACGCCATGCAACGAGCCTTCAAATCATGGAACTTCGTGCTCACCTTGGCAGGTGCCTGCCGCACCTGCAGCCCGAACGATGGCCGCAAAGCTTCGTTGGTTAGGATGAGCCTAGAGGTGGTCGCACGAATTCAAAGTTCACAACTCCCGCCAAATGTTTTGCATAACCGAACTACAAATTTAAATGTCAGTTATGTGCTGCAGCTACCTTAGAGCGGACAGAGGCACCTTTGTATCCCGGCAGACCAAGAACTTCTGGTTAATGACCCCACCAGCCATGGCCAGGAACGTCAGGGCCTAAAGCTGGAATGTCTTTAAACTAAGGCGACTTATCAGGTTCTAGAAAACGTAAAATGGCCTTCTGCTTTCCAGGCCTGTCGGCTGACATCAAGAGCACTGGTTCAGAAAAGCTTGTTGCGGCTTAGCTGAACAATCGTCTGAACTTCCGATGCCTGCAGTTGGAATGAGCATGGCAGTGCTGCTGAAGTCTCTACCGCTAACGGCTAAAGTGAGCTGGACAGGAAGGCATCGATGCAACTGGAGGCAGGGCTCCGGTGGACAAGCAGTGCAATCGCAACAGACAACTGCAATGGAGCTCCACCAGCTTCCGGCGGCCACGCCGCAACATCGCTTAACTAATCCATGCGCCCGAATTTTCGTGACACCATGGCAACAGCGGAAGTCACGCGTGCCCTGTGAGAAAATTCTGCACGTCCATGTTATCTCGTGCCAGCAGAAACCCACCACCACACAGCCAATAGCCAACGAGCCCGAAATAAGCCTGAATCGTCACCGCGTTTCTTTGCTAAATCACTATGCGCAGTTGCTTTGATTAGATAGTCATATTCGGATGTTGTTTTTCTCTCTGATCGGTCCCTGACATCTAACTCAGACACTTTTGCAAACTCCATCGGTGCTACCCACCGTGCTATGTGGGCTTGCGAGGGTGTGCCCATAAGCATAGCTGATTCTCATGATGCACTCGATGAGAAAAAAGTAGATCCTCGCTCTCTCTCTCTCTCTCTCTCTCTCTCTCTCTGACGACCTCGACCTGGTCTGCATTCTTGGTGCATGCTTAATCTCTCTGCTCATTTATTCCTCTACAGCATGCCTCGCGCTGTTTCTGCTATGTTAAGACTCATCATGATGCCAGGGGGCGGTGGTGATGGACGTATGTTAACTTCGCTGACAAGCAGTGCTGTCTGGATTCTCGTTGTCGGGTTATGTGCTGCCCGGTCTGGGAAAGATAAGTAGCACGAGTCACGCAGACCTACTCGTTAAGAGCAAAACAGTAGATTGTGCACCACATGCGGGCTTCTTTTTGCTCTCAAGGCTGTGGGCGATACTCCACTGTCCACAAGCCCACAATGGAGGCATTGTAGAAGCTGGTGGAAGGTCGTTCACCTGTCGAGCATGTCCGACAGTGGCACAGCAGCCCAGAATCACAGGACAAGCAAAATCGAACTGTATGAAACCCTCACAACCTGGAACGCGTCATTTTAGATACCTATACTCTCTCCGGCTGTCAACCCTCTAGCTGGCGACGAGGCTGAATGCGCAGGAGGGTTGAGGAAGCTCGGGGGTGCTGGAATCATGCAGCTGCAGGTTGTGGAGCAGGGGCACATCCGGTAGCCGTGCTTTCCCACGGGCTCTTCAAATCTTGCGCATTACAAGCCATACATGATATAAGATGATGTACATGCTGTTTCTCTGCCTTCATAACCTGCAAAGTCTCCCACACAAGATGGCCGAATGCCTCCTGGCCTCGTGAACTTGCCTCAAGTCTTTGGTAGTGTCTGTACACTTGTCAACCCACTGCAGCAGGGCAAAGACCTTTTGCGCCTGTGCTGTCCGTCTCGTTGCCGCTGGAGATGCAGTACTCAGTACTCGTTCTAGCATTCCTTTTCGTACTCTGCAGGCTGCATGTCCTGCGGCACCCGAAAAGCACATCCCGGGCCGCTATGAACAAGGTCCAACGAAGCCATGTTTGAAACTTCGGAGACAAGCAGGATCCACGACCGCCACGACATCTGAAGACAATGTCAGAGCTCGACTTGCCTACTAGTAGTGCAGAGGGGTCAGCGCTCTGTCGATGACTGTGCTACCGGGTGTGATGCATCCTTGCATCATGCTGAATCGGGCTGACCTCAAAATGCGGCACTGTGGCATCCTACTGTGCCGTGTCAAGGGTTTCACATGTCTGGCAGCGGGATGCCCTGCTTCTACATCGGTGCCCCAGGTAGAACAGGCATTGTGCCCACAGTCGCGCTTGCTGTTTATTGCGGCCCGGAGACTGCACGCATTGCTCTCGAAAATTGTAAGCAAATCACAACAAGTATGAGCACATGCGTGTCTTTACTGGCGCTTGCTGACCTGCGGCTAGTTTGCAATCACTTCAACAGACCATGGTCAGAGGATTCAAAACCGACTCCTGTTGAAAAGCTCGCCTTGAAACATCCCCGTGGCCATACGTGTGAACACCAAGACACGCTTAGGGCTAGAACTGCTGCGACAACTGTTTCAAACACCACGCTATGCTACAGTACGAGCTTCTCATGGGCCTGAATCATCTGCATGGCAGGCAGCAATGCATGGCCCAACTGACGGCGCCCCCGAACCGCAGCTCCCCTAACTACCCTCCCAAACAGAGGTGTGACGAAAGCTCACCCGCCGCCGCATTTGCAGAAGGCAAAGCCCGAAGGGCTCAGACTGCGGGCTGCGCTCCTCTCCCAGATCACAAGAGTCAGTTCGCAGTGACCAGCGACATACCACGATCCTGATCCAATGCTCCGGTCGGGCTGGCGCAGCCAGTCAGACCTGCGCAGATGTCGTCTGCTATTCCAATTTTTTGGGCTTGGTTCCACTGGACCACCTTTTGGTGCGCCGAAGATTGCGGCTACGGCAACAAGGGCATCACCGATAAAGCAAGTACTTACTCTCTGCTGATCTCTGCGCATTGTCGTCGTTGCTGCTTGAACTCACGGGTTGCCCATACCACTGTATTCTACGGTGGGGAGTGGGTCGATGTTAAGTTTGTAAGTGAGGACTTATGCTATCAGAGCCGGCAGTATTGTTTAAATGCCAACTGGTCGATCTGCCAAAGCCTTCCAGAGCGCTACGTGACAGAACCGGCTGCTAAGGGCATCGGGGCTTTCGAGTCGGAACCAAACCAAACTTTGCTTGTTCGCCACTTTTGGTGACGATGTGAAAGTGTGGGCGGCCCCGTCTGCATTCGCCATGCGGCGCTCGTCCTACCCTACAGCCCTACAGCGGGAAAGAGGGACAAGGATTCCACAACTCGGTCGTACTAGCTTGCGAACTTCCGGAGGTGCATATCTGAAATTGGTGAATCCGTTCATCCGATGCGGATCAGGAATGCAAAGCACGGAAACGAAAGAGGATAGAGATGTAAGTCAAAGCTCCCAAATCAGAAGGGGAGCTGTGCTCAGAACAAAACCCCTAACTTTGTCACTAAACCCTTGTAGCTTTATGAAGCAGAACAGAACCCCCAGGAAGATGTTGCTTCTCTTCCCAGGCCCCCTGTCTGCACAAGGCATTGGCTGGGGTCCGGGCTGCGAACACCGAAGGCTGCACCTAAGGTTGGCGGGATATGCCCAGAAGGTCGTGGCTGGTTTTCAGTGCTTCGGAGCAGGAATTGATGAAATTCCACGACTGCGTCTCACAGTCGAAGAAGGCTTTGTTCTGTTGCCTTAGGATTCAATCGGAGACTTCACTGACTTTGTCCACCTCAGTTTGTCTGTCCATCTTGATCGTTAAGTGTCTTTGTGTTCTCGCGCTCGGACTGGCCAGATGATGTATTTGGTGACCAAGGTGATCGACGTGAATCTTCTCAGGAATGTCCCAGGTGGGGCCCACGGGATCAAATCGCAGGTACTGCAACGTTAAGCTGACCAGCATGTACGATTAAGTCGACCGCTCCCCTGTTTGTTCTTTGAATCCTTGGAAGAATGTAAACACAGGAATAACTGACCCCGGGAGTCAGTCTCAACAAATTGGGGCAGGCCGGATAACTCAGAACAAACCAGGAAAAGTCAAGAACTGACCAACAACACTCAGAAAAAGTCAGGGACACCTCAGAGAGTCAGACTTGTTGACATGTTTCCTGACTTGTTTTTGACTTTTTGGCTTTTTGCTTTCCTAGGGCGGCCAGGATCCACATAAATCGCGAGGTTGAGTCAGGGGATCAAGGACACGGTCAAAATAACGCAGCCGAGCACTCCTTTTTGACTTTGCTTTGCGAGCGCTGTTGCCCCACCAACCGCGACGAAGACTTCTTTTGACTTGTGATTCGTCATGCCCACCAACAGAAACAAGCTTTTCTGGCCGACTTGCTGTACCCATGCTACAACGATGCACAGTGGCTCCTTTGGCAGAAGAGGGTACTAAGAACCACTGTGTGTGTTTGTGTGGGTGTTAATGTTGGCATCTGCTGCGCAAGCCCTTCCCGCGGATTGCAGTTGTGCCACATTATCTCACTGCTGGGTACATCACGATAGTACCCAAATAATTACTGCTGGCAGAAACTCTGTCTCAGGGTTTCAAACCTCGGGGCTCGGGTACCACAACACATGGTCGCCTGTGGAACTGCTCTGGGTCGAAACTCAGCATGGAAAGTGCGCAAGTACAGTGCTTGCCATGTGTGTTCGACGAACTCCTCCCGCGCCTTGTTGTCCATGATGTCTGTGACTATGGATTCTGTACTACCACGCTGTACAACAGGGGTGGTTTTCCATCATGTCGTTGACATCCGAATTGAAAACTGCATGCCCTGCACCGAGCATGTCCGGACTTGCCAACTGCTGAAGGCCTGGCCGACACAACGAATGGCCCGGAAATTCAACGATCAATCGACATCTGGAAATTCTCAGCCTATCGGCATACATTTCTCCAACCTGGTTATACCGGGAGCAAATACAGTTGCCAAGTTGGAGATGTGCTTCTGCCATCTTCTGCCGTCTCCCGTGATGGATCTGGGATGATCTGGGCGAAGGAACTCCTTGGAGCTGCCACCTTTTGGAAACCGCTGAAAGGGCAGCTCCGGAGATCTCCGGGGCAGGCTTCGAAAGGGCACCCTGAAGCTGGGGACAGCCTGGGACAGCTGTGGGAAGGGGTGGAAGCAGAGCACGTCGAGCAGGAGGAAGAGCTTCTACACTAAACAGCTGCGATCATCTCGACTAGCTGCAGGCCAAGGCACTGGGACATCCAGCCAGGTCTGCGCAAACTTTGTGCAGGCCGCCAGGCCTGGCTGTGATCAAAGGGATCAAATCCACAATGACTCAGTCCTCCCTAAATTCTCGCCCACATTCCCTTTCTTCCTGCTTACATCCCCGCATCCGTTCGCACACGGCGCTCACCCGGGCATGCACCCGGGTCAGGCACACGAATGGGTGGACGGGTCTCTCCCGAAAAAGATAAGAAGGTAAACTGTGGCCCCGCGGACAGGAAGCCTGAGGGCGGGCAGTGAGAGACAATGGACCCCACTTTCAACGCTCCGACGTTTGCTTCTTCTTCTTCGTCTGCCGGCTCCGACACGCAGCAGCTAGGCAGCCGAGCGACATGTTTGGATCATTGGAGGGCACTCGGCCTAGCTAGCGACTTTTGATTTGAAGCCTTTCGGAAGGCGGTTGCCGCATTTTTCGCATGGGCGCTTGCCGTGGAGTTGTCTGCGCAGCTGTGAGATTCTCTCTGGTGGCAAACCATTGGAGGTGTACATGGTATCCTTTTGTGGGACCACGCTGACCTCGTTCTTTGCGACAGTTTTGCAGCCAATGAACAATCCACATTGCTACATATCCAATCAAATCACATATTTCACCTCTCTGCATTATAGTGCTGGTTTCCTGGCTGACAATTGAATTCGTAACAGTCGGAGCACTGTAGACCCTTGAGCCTCAGACGACACGAGATTTGCTACTACAATCTGGGCCCTTCAGGAACTGTAACCTGGAGTGTAGACAGCTTTGCTGGTGTCAACATTCTCTGGTCTGGCTCGTTACTCTTCCGGTTACAAAGTGTGTTCGTTGAATACGAGTAAACAGAGGAAAACAGTAGATCGACGCATTGTTGTACATATAGTGCATGTATGTACGCATGTATGTACGTATGCATGCATGGCACATGTCTATGCGCATGCAGATAACACACACACACACACAAGCGCACACACACACACAGATAGAGAGATATATCCATAAATATATATATATATATACAAACATACATATACATGCACAACAAAAGGAGACAGAGAGTGAAACAGAGAGAGAAACAAGAGAGATGTCAAAGAGAGGCTCAAGAGAGGCACATGTTGACTCGGTGTCAATAGCAATGTGCACGTAGGCAGGTAGGTTGATTCTCAAGAAGCTTTCGCTACCCAGCCTCCCTTCTCCAGGATGCAGCGAAAGATGGCCTCGAAGCGGTTCCCTTTTGATTCGGAAGCCACCTCTCAGGCCGCAAGCACGCAAGGCTGTCACTCGAACACTGGGAAAAAGCGCTTAAATGCTGTGCCCCCAGCCCAGTTCTGACATGTTAGGCACTATGTACAGCATTGCATGGAATAGTACACAGCACTCTTGCCACACCGGCATACACTGACGGCATCTGCTGCCACTGTGGGAGAGCATAGCGAGCCTCGAAGTAGTGTAGCCTGGCGGCAGCACAACTATCCGAATCTATCCGCACTGGTCAGTAGTGCACGCTTGCACGCGACATGCACTGCATGCCTTGCCTCTCTATATCTCTGCTGCTGCCTAGTCATGGCCTATGCAAGACACCATGGCTGCGAATGGATGAGCGGGCCGCAATCCCAGACCACTACGGCTTGCAGACGCTTCACAGCTGATGCCAGGACGCGCCTGACCCTCGCGGACGTACTGTCCAGAAACAAGAAGCCGTATTGCGCCTGACACCAAATCGGTTAAACAGGTTGTGATGTATTATATATATATATATGTTTACACTGCTCGTGCATGGTCGAAAAACTCGGCCTTCGGACCTGATCTATCTTCCAGGCTGCTACAGGTAGCCCCTCTGAAGCGTCGGATGTTCACGGCTGGAATTGTCGCAACACTCAACTGATACGTAGGGCAGACACTGTACTGCAGACCCCGGCCCTACATGAAGACGACGGACACAGAACCACTTGCGAGCATGTGGGCCTCACATGCGCTGTCGGACATGCCATGAGCGCCGATCATGAACCCGACAGGTTCTGTTGCATTGGCTTGGACCTCGGGCAAAACTCAGCATACTCAACCGCTTTCTCTCAGGTTGCACATGCATGCCCGTAGCTGCGCCCACTGCATAATTGCAGTGCTCATGCCCGTCCATGTACCTGCAGATTGTCCCGGCCCGCGGACGAACTGACTATCCAAACTGCTTGCTGGAACCACACCTGTTCCGCCATGCAGCCCTTTTTACCAGAACCGATCCAGTTCTGAAGTCGCCACGAACGCCGCAGTGCCCTCCCCTTACGACGCGCACTTCAGGCGATTGCCCAGCGCCTTGCAGCTTGTCAGCTGCAGCAGCTCCTTGGTCTCCGGCTTTGCTCTGCGTTGCTGTTGGCTTCTCCGATTCGATCAGAGCTATCATTCCTTCGTGCATAAGGTTCAGTGAGTTGCCAGGCGCGGGATGAATGTGCTGCATAACATCACAACTTCCTGCATCCTTAACATCCTTCATCCACTCTTGCACTTATCTGAAGCTCCAAACTTCGGATGCAGAAGCTGCTGCTGCTGCTGCTGCTGCTGCTGAAACCATAATCACTGCCATGACATGCAACAACCACAAGTCTACCTCAGAGACTGGTGCAACATATGCTGTACGAGCAGTACAGTGGTGATGTTGTGGCAACAACCTTTGACAACGACAACGAATGCCACCATCGCCTTAGCCACCATCTGTTGTTCTTACGAACACGACGACCACTGCTGCCACTCCTGCTCTGCTGCCACTACTCCCGCTTCTATGTGACCATCACTGACCACCGCCACCAGCACCACGACAACTACTGCCAGCAAAAAGCAGGTGCTCAACAGAAAGGGCAAACTCAAGTCGCAACAACAACAGCAATTTGAGGTGTGCCATTTCCCAATCCGTTCCGTTCCGGCGAGCCCGTCACAAACAAGCGCAGTTTGCCACATCAGAGGTATAACACCTGAACCTGCTGGTCAAAAGGTAGGACGGGATGACGCATCGTAGTGCGAGGCCAGTCTAGGTGCAGCTCTTTGGAAGAAAACACCCCGGACTGACATCCACGGGAAGAGCATTCAGGCAGAAGGATAACTTGTGCTGGCGACGGATGGCAGACTGAGTGCCCATACAATTACCCGGAAAAGCACCCACACAAATTGTACACAAACATTCCCATTGTCGAAGCCATCGCAGTGAAGACCGGGCAGAGACCGTTTTCCATAGAATGAAGTCAAGTATCCTGGTGAACTTTCGGCACAGACATGCCCAAGGCACAGCCAAGACCCCCTCCATTCCAATGTCCGAGGAGGAACCTTTCGGCGGGCAGATGATCGCAACGGGCTTGCTGCGAATGCACGTGTTATCGCTGTGAGCAGAATGGATCCACGGTGAGTTCAAACAATTTGGCCGGCACTGATTCTTCCGTTGTTCAGGCATCAAAGGGACGATGTCACTACACGACATGCGCTGAAAGATCAGCAGCTTGTGTCCAGGATCCATCGTGACACATTTTGCTTTTTACTTAACCACTCACTACAGTTAGGCCCTAAACCCAAATGAAAATACCATGCAGTCAGCAGCACACGACGGCAGGCTGGGTCTCCACGAAGTAATCGCATGCCTCATCCAAAAACCAGGCAAAAATTCTGGAATGCAAAGAGAAACCCAAGCTCATGATGCCAACGCCTACAGTGCCTGCTGCGAAAGCGGTTTCATCCACCGGTTCACGCTGCTTCGGTTTCAGCCCACGATTGAAAAGTAGATAGTCTTCGGCATCTTGGCCGTCACTGCAGATTATGAACACATCTCGGCATGTCGCAGTCATTTCGCAGCCACTCCCCGTATCTACCCTCTTCTCCATTGCCATGAGATCCGCTGTCCAAGTCTCATGCCGAGAACTGAAAACCGCAGCTGGCCTCTGTGAAGTAGGGAAGCATGTCTGTGAACAGAGCTGCTCCAGAAAAGGCAAGGAAGCCGATGTTCCCGAGCTTGTGATAAACCTTGGAGGCTTCATGGGACACTGAGTTGTCATGGAGATCTGCCCTTTTGCTCTTACACCAGCCCAGCCCATCATCGATGGCTACATTTCCGAAACTGAAACTGAGGTAGCCCGAAAACGAGTATGCATCACCCAATGTCGACTTCGAAAAGGTTCGAGGAGCCAGGAAGTTGGTACCCACGTTCTGAAAGCTGGTCCAGGCTTTCCTGGCAAGGCAACCGGGTCAGCTACAGCACAAGGCCTCGGCATTTTCGCACCTAATGTCGGGATCGACGGAGAAGTCCATGAAATTCACGTCGTCCTCTTGCAGGGGCATCACAAACTCGAGGCTCACGGAAACTAACCAAGTGGCTTTGCATGCCACCCATGGCGGGCTTGATTTCCACATCAGTTAACGAGCAGAGCGAGCCAGATGCGGCCTGCGGTGGAATGCGGGAGGCAACCGGGTCAGCGGCGTAGTACCTGCGAACCCGCGAGATTCCATGACGTGGCAGGGTGGCAGAGGCCCGTTGCAAGCTACTGCGTTCACAAACTCCGGGCTCAAATACCTACAAGACCTATCGCCGAGTCCTGTGTGGCATCCATGTCTTGCGCAATCTCATTAGGCGGGTCCCCTTAGTCCAAGTTGTCACCATGCCACTGCATCTGCCCAATGCCAAAGTTGTCGTTCTCGTCACCGCAGCCAGGACTTCCACAGACCCAAATGTCGTGGTTGCCATTCACCTCGGGAAACTTTGACTTCGCTGAAGTGGTCGGACTCTTGTGTTCTTTGGCGCTTAAAGTGAGAGAAGGACGTAACTTGACTGTGCGGATCTGTGCGGCGATAACACTGTCTGCGTAGCCTCCTCACCTTGTCCGCCCATGGCAGGACATTTTGTGATAGGCGACCGCAACAAGCAGACACTGCAACTTCCAGCCATGCTTACCACACAGCAAGGCGTCCCCAACCGGACAATTTTCATCCCCGATCGTCTCCAAAGGCCTCTCGCCACACCATGATCCTTCCACAAATGAAACCATAGAGCCGCATTTACACTGCCAATTTTCAAACTTGAAGGCCTGCGCACTGTAGCCCACATCTAGGTCCCACACCACAAGCATGAACCGCCTCTTGACATCTGGGGAGAGTCGGTCGAAGAAAGTCGTCGCCAACCTGAGACAGAGTAGCCGAAGTCCTAGTATAATACAAACATGCAACAACACCTAGGTTTACTGAGCTTTACGCTTCCATACGCGGACTCGCTGCAAGCTGACATGGTGGGGATCGGCCCAAGTTTCTGACATTCGGACTGCCCGGGCGGAGCGTATATCAAATATCCATAAGGCCGCACAAAAGAACACGTATATACAATCGAATTGGCAAGGACTTCCAGGAGTGTGAAGGCAGTCTGGCTTTCGGAAGTCCCGCGCCATCACAGCCAATCCGTCTTTAGACAAACTAGACATATATTAGACTTAGACTCACGGTGCCCCCTCAGATCCGCGTGCACCCCACAAGTGCCAGCTGCGCAAATTCCGGAGATTTTCGAACGTACGCCTCCGTCATCTGTCCGCTCGTTGTTCTTGTCAAGACAACAGCGCCCCTTCGGCAGCATCCGATCCTTTGTTTGCATTTCATGCACCACGAGATTCCATGCCCACACAACAGGACTTGTGACGTCAGCTGTTGGCCGCATAGAACCTGTTGAACCCCGAACAGGGGCCGCCGAGTCCGCCCGCGGTCATCAAGTCATGCACAGCAATCTCGGATTCCAACGTTGGTTTACCACCATTGCCCTGCGTGGGCCTATGCGTGCCGGCACACATCCTTCCTCATCTGCCATGATGCCAGGGCTAGCTAAAGGAAGCAATCCTCGCGGAACGACGGGGACTGACGTCTGCTCCATGTGTGCTGCGCCGTGAAGCAAAGCCCGGGGATGTGAACAAGTCTAATATGTGAAAAAACATGTCCGGCACTTCACCCATTATGCACGGTTTTCGCCGATGCCTCAGCCGAAAACATACAGTAACAACAAAAGAAGTCTGTGGCAACACCAGGGAGCCACCTGTCTCCATCTGTTGGTGTTCGTCAGAGGGGTCCAGTAAGCACCCGCCCAACGAATGTAGGTGAGCTTGCGTCAGCTACAACACAGGTTGAGCGGTTGTGTATTCAAATTTGCGCCAGCCCTTATGCAGGTAGCACAGCACGACGCCGTTTGGCCGGTAGCAGCAGCCACGTCGGCACCCATCTCGTATATGTCGCCGAGGTCTTCGATCACAATCGTGGTGCGTCCGGACGGATGACCGATGACTCTGGAGACCTTCCGTCCCCTCTGCTTTGGTTCACAGACTTTGGGCGCTCGCGTCAGCTTGGGGGATAGAGGCAAACCCAAAGAGCCCAACAAGTTGACTTCGCTAAAAATGGCTTCTTGCCCGCTTGCGGGCCAGCTGATCTAACCTGCTTATAGTGAGGACTTCTTCGATCGACCAAAATGATAGTGGCGGAGTAGCAGTCAAATCCACAAACCTTTGCACTTACGGTGTTGTCAAGGCAGTTTCTGCTGGCCACCCAGCGACGATGAGTCGTGAGCCCGCTGCTTCAGCATCCGTAGCCCCCCCCCGCTATCTTCCTGCACACTTCGCACCTCACCCCTACCTGCAGCTAGGATATAATCACCACTCGCGGGCGCTACTCAATTGCGGCGCTGGGGCTCTCCAGTCTGGTCGTAGAAGTTGTCGCCCAGGATCGAGAACATGTCCATGCTAGGGTCCTGCCATCACATGAGCCAACTCAAGGTCGACATTCTGAGCGAAAACAAACCTGTCGAAGCGCACAAATGACATGGGACACACATGATCCGGGCGTGTGCAGTTGCCTGAAGCCAATTATCTCTCACTTCCATACAGCCACAGGGCGTGTTCATGCAGCAAACGCGAGATAGATATTGCTGGCCGAGGGACAGAAAATACTGCATTGAGCATGGCTATGGAATTCTCAAAAGTGTTGAAGACCTCTGCATAAGCCTGAAGAGGGAAAACAAAAAAAAAAGCACCGACGCATGCGGCCAGCACAGGTGACACCAGTTGCTGCATCCAACATGTAAAATTGAAAAGTCAGTCTTGCCTCAGCTAAAATGCGATCTTGAAAGCCCCTAGCAGGCCACAGAGCCGACTTTAGCTGAGGGGCGCAGCCAATCCATTTTGACGAGAAGCATGGATCCTCACTGTGCGAGAACCAGTGTCAGGAACTCTGAACACCTTTAAAAGAAAGCCTTCAAAATGTGTGTTGTGTATCTTTGTGTCTGCGCTCCCTGCGGCAGTTGTTTTGCAGCCAAAGTTTCGGACCAAAAGACGGCACGAATGCCTGCATCTTCTGCTGGGAGACGGACCTGTGGGAAGTCAAAGCAGCACGAATGTCCATACCTCTGATAGAAGGGAAGTCTGTTCAAGGGACGGGCTGGCACGTGTGAGCAGCCCGGAATGGCTCCCCCCGTGACCCGAAACCTGAGCTTCCGGAAAGCGATTCCCACAAAGCATGCTTTCCCGGCTGCCCTTGCTGCGGCCTCCACGTCCTGACCACCGATCTGCAGCAAATTGGCTCCAGGTTTCACGTCAATCAGCGCCTTAGATTCGGAGACTCGAGGGCCGTCATGCCCGCAGACGATGCAAGCTTGTGTCGGATTTATGTAGGACATGGTGCACAAGACGTGCGTTGGCTTGTGATTTCCGAAGTCAAACCCCAAATCTGCACTCGAGGAAGCCCTCAAATCACCCACACCCACCAGAACCCAACTGCAAAACCTACTTCACAAGAAGCCCGAGCGACCGCGAAGCCAAAGCCAAAGACACCCTCAACTTCAGCCCTTTGAGGAACGAGGAATGTAGGCTTAGACATGGGACAGCACGCACGGAGTGCAGGCATACCTTTTTTGCCGCATGCCGAGGGAAATGCAGACACGTTTCTGCCAGCACATGGCGTCCACGATCCAGAAGTCAAACTCTTTCTACGGGAACGTGAACTGCATCTTCTCCTCATACATTACCCGCAAGTGACGGGCCCGACGCAGGGGCTCATCAAAAAGATGCCTGAGTCTCCAGACACAGCTTACGAAGAGGAAATTCGATCGTGCAACACAGGCTGCTCACTTATTCTTACCGAAGAAGCAGCACCGGCATAGGACGGGGCGATTGAAGAACCAAGCAAATCCATTTGCAAGAGCTTTCGAGAGGCCCAGCATCGCTCCACTTTTGCTTCTCAGCCCGGAGCCACTCCTGCCGCTGTTGGGGCTCAATGAATACAGTTGCATGTCTGGCAGTGCTGCCAAGCGGTAGGAGCTTCGGGGCAGAGTTCATTTGCCGCTGCGTGCCGCTGTGCCAAGCACTCAGGACAAACAAATGTACGGAGCCCCAAGGCTGGCAAGTCGAAGGAGGCGCATAGATTGCCAACACCAGTGGGGGGCCTTCCATGCCGCATGGGGCTTAACTTGACAGCGACGAGGCGAGGGACCGGGGCGCCGCAGCTCGAAGCTCCTCGTGCTGCAGGAGCTTGAGATGTTTCTGCTCGAGGCGGGCCTGCAAAGGGCGGCAAAGAGAATCCCTCAAGCCTGATTGCATCCACGGGAATCTTGCATCCTAGCTGTCCCCGCTTCAGGCACCATCCTCAGAGCGCAACCCGATGCTGGGGAATCTTTTCGTTTCAGCTTCAGTGGCTTGCTGGACAAACTAGACCTGAGTTGAGAGCAGGAATGCTTGCACGATCCTACGCGCAGAGCACCAACAACTATGTTTCAGAAACTCCAAAAAAAAGTACCGGTACCGTCCTGCTGCGCTAGAGGGGAGGCTGATGCAGCTGACGATGTGATGTCAGGTTCCGGGCCTTCCGCGTAGTTCCGGCCATCTCTGCGGCACAAGCGATGATCCCACTGGGCCCCACCCAGACCTGGCCAAACGGACCTGGACATTGGTCTCTTCATGTCTCTGTGCAAGGGCGAGTTCGGGGTTTCGGGGTGGAGGAAACGATCATGTGAAAGCAAAAGCTGTTATACACTGACAATCCTGGAGACTCTGTCAAAGCAACAACAAGATCAATGAATTCTTCAGCCCTTCCACTTTCGCTTTCGATGCCAGGTCACTGACTGTAGCCGCTCGCAGGTGCTCCAGTGGCCGGAAACCACACAACATCGAGTCCTCCCTGCCGCAACTCAGGACTATCCTCGGCTGCACGCGAAGAGGTCGGCAGGAGGCCAGAGACGGCCCAACACTGCCCATGGTCGTGACCCCAAGGCGCAAGGGCCTTCTGGCTTGCTGGCTTGGTGCTACGCTGGTTTTATGCTGCTGCACGATCCAAACACACCACCCCACACCATCCCCAAGACTCTGGGAGGACCAAGCGGCGTTAAGTCCAGCAGTGCCCAGATCGTGTTCTTCGCGATAAGCAGGGTACTCCTAGGCCCGAATCCGCGCTAACGCAGAAATCCCAGAAGGAAACGCTCTTCTCGGTGATGCTACAAGCACGAACTCGTCAATCTGAAACCGCGGAACAAGTCGAAATGAAAAGCAGATGCCATAGGATACCCATATCAGGGTCCAATCCTGTTCAGCAGACTTAGCATCGGCTGACTCCTGCTTCACCACCTTTGAAACCGCAACTCAAGATACCGGAATGCACCAAGGAGCGACCTTCTGAGACGAGTCTTTTCTTTTCGCCTCTTTCTCTTGCCGCACCGCCGCCAAAATGCTTGCACATCTTGCACACACCACCCCCCCCTTCCGCCTTCCCGGCACTTCACACGGTGTCCCGGTTTACCAAAGTGGGCCAACTAGGGACGCTCAAAACAACATCGATCATTGATATCCATGTATTGAAAAATTTTGTTCACACTCCCTCCACCCCGCCTTCCCGCCCCTGCTGACCTCGTCGGAGTAATAAGACTTCCAGAGCACAAGGTTCCTGTCATCACGGTCGTCACCATCAACGCCAGCGTCATCGCCATCGCCGGCGTCTACACCCCTCTTCAACATCATCATCACCATCATCCTCACCATCATCGTCATCGTCATCAGCACCACTATCATCATCACCACATAACCCACACACTCGTAACATCACCATCATCCTCACTCCGAGCGGCCCTGCCCAGGACACCACGTCAACCGTGAAGGAGGAGAACCAAAGCCGCCAGAGCCTGAGGTGCCGATGCTCGGGTTTCCAAAAAGCTCCAAGGCCGCTGCCTGCTTGCAAAATAGTAATAGTAATAGTAGTAGTAGTAGTAGTAGTAGTAGTAATACTAATAATAATACTACTAATACTGATAATAATTATGATAATGATAATAATCAGAGTATATGCGCAGCTTGGCAAGAGGACTTTGTAGCGACCTGGCAGAGCTGTCGAAACGCCTGAAACTGAACCAAGCCACAGGAACGGCAGCTGCAAGAACAGTAGAGACCTTGCAAGCCGGCTACAGTCAAGGGCGTCCTTTCGGAGGTGCGTGTTGCATTTGAGACAGACCATGCCTCAAAGCGTCCAGCACTTGTGCTCGACGCTCGAAGAGCTCGCGTTCCTCGCCCTCGCCTTACCGCGTCGCTTGACTCTCCGTGCTTCGTGGGCATGGGCATCGCGGCATGCAGTGTTCTTGGCATGGGAAGCTGGAGGCTGGAGAGTCTTCCTTCAGCTGGGCTGCACATCTCCCCACAGCGAAGCCAGCCACTGCCTCGGAGCATCCCACGATCCCCAAGAACCCTCAGCTGGCTTTCTGCGAATATCGCCTGACATCCCACAGGGTCAACATCGTCAACTGATCTCCAGTGATTCACCAGGCAGGAACAAGCGTGTCTGAGTCTTACGAAATTGGCTACGCTGGGAGGTGAGCTGCGTCTTCTCTAGGGCAGGCTCCCCGTCAGCTGCACTACAATTGCGATCAAGAGCCAGGTACGTTGAAGGGATCTGCCAAGGAGCAGATTTTTGCGGACTGTTCCTCCATCTCGTCCTCCAAGGAGTCTGCCTGAGCTCTGGCCGGCATCGAGGCTGCAACTGCAGCCTCGCCTCTGTCCCGACATCCGTACCGGCTGAGCTACCGCAGACTCCAAAGACGCTGGGAATTTCTTGCCCGACAGACCTTCTGCGAGTCATGGCTCAGCGCAGACGGCTTCATCGAGCTCCAGCTTCAATGAGAGGTGCGGGTACAGCCGGTCTGAGAAGTGCGGGTACAGCTGGTCTGCCTCAACACATAATTTGGATTCGAGGGGCTATACACCTAGTGATGCGTTGAAAGCCCTCGCGTGCCCAAGTGGACACTAGCATTTCTGCAGAAGGTTTGGCGCATGCCTGTAAGCACACATCCGACCGGACTCCACGATGGTCAAGCCAGATTTTTGTTGCTTAATCTGCCATCGGCTGCAGCTTCAGGTGGCCTGAACCATCGCGACCGGCGGCTCCCGATCGTCCGTGAACCTCTGATATTGCATTTCGCGTTGAAAATGTCCCGATTGAAGCCCGCAGCGGTATAGATCTACTGAGATACTACCAGCAGCAAATAACGGCAAGCACAACACCAAAACACAACAACAACAACCACACCGATCTCGCGGAAAAAATCATGGCAACAATACCCCATCCTGTTGAGACAGAGGACTGGTGCAGAGTTTCTGAAACTCCATTCAACGAAGCAGCCAATACAAACAGTATTGCAAACATGGGATGATGTGGAACAACCTATGACAGTACATTGAAGATTCACCGAACTTATCTGGGCATACCGACCTTTTTAAGACCAATAGCAGACATCATGCCCAAACTCTTCACTGTCTGCGGACATCCCTGTGCATGCATGTTCCAGCACTCTGCAAGGGCTTGCTGAGCTTGACTTTTCTTTGCGTACTTGCACTTGCACTGAGAGTACTAAATCTGTTTCAAGCAGTGAATACTGTAGCAAAAATAATGCAGCACAAATCGCTGGATGCACTGTAGAACGCAGTCTACACGACCACTGTCATATGGAGTTGCCCTTTCACTTGCCCTGCTTGGAGGAGCCACGCCGGCAGACTGTGGGATCTGAGGCTTCCAATGCTGCTGCACAACAGTAACAGCCCCAAAGCCTACACCGAAAATCTCCCAAACAAACAGCCCACAACCTAAGCCCTGAGCGCGTGAGCATGCAAGGAGCTCCATCCGATAGCAACCAGCCCCTGCCGGGATGGCTCGCCCGGGCCGAAAAGTCTGCGTCAGCAGCGAGGAGCAGGTCCTGGAATTGGTTCAGGCGGTGGTGAGCGCAGACGCGGTATTCCACATTCGAGCGCGTGGCCTGCGCAGGCAGCCATCATCGGAATCGGAGCCCTCGCCTTGAAAGTCCATGACGCACACCGGGAAACCGATGCTCCCTTCTTCAGGAGCTCCGTCTTCCACGGGCCTCCGGTGAGGGAAGACCCCTCGCAAGAATCTCAAGGGCCTGTGTTGACCGCAAAACCCATTCTGAACTCAGTGTAGAGCTTGGGTGCCAGGGCCAGCTGCTACGCAAGTCAAGATTGCACTCAGCTTGGCAGGATCATAATGTCCAAGGCACATCAGAGGAGCTGCCGGTGATGGCGGTGACGCCTCTGCGGCCTCAACAAGAGACCGCTTGCAGATCGCAGCACTCGTGACAACAATACCCCGTGCTTTCACCCGACCCACTCTCCATGCGTGCAGGAAGCCAGAAGATCGTCGAAAGGCTCCGATCGACCCGGCGAGGGAAGCTAAGTTAAACAAGCGTGTAGAGCCGACTTGTTCCTCAAGGTCCTGCCCTGCCTGTTCTCCATTGTAGGGCGCCACCGCCGCATAGAGAATCTGCGAAAACATGACGAGCAAGAAAGCCGCTAACCAGGTCAGGTACCTCAGCGTAGCGTAGCACTTCGGACCGAAAAAGGAGGGTGCCTACACCGATTCTCGGGCTTTCAGGGGTCTGGAGGGGGGTCTGGGGCCCCAGGATTCCAGGGAGCCCCGCCTCCCGCCCGCACCTTCCAGTTAGGGGCCCCAGGCTGGCAGATCCAGGGACCTTGCCGGGGCCTCCCGGGCCGGTCCGAGAAGGCGACTGCCCTGACATGCTCATGCTCTGCCGGAAAGCAGTACCTCGCAAACCCTCCAAGACTAGGGATTCCAGCTGCCTTTCGAGTTTGTTAAGCTCGTGGAAGCAGGCCGCTTTCGAGCTCAGAACCTGCTCTTAGACATGGTGGCACCTTCAGTCTTCTAGTCTCGCTGATTCTCTCCATGTGATGCTTCCGGCGTGTCTTCGCATCTGCTTCCACAAGCTTCCGGAAGTGTATTCGGTATATGATGTATATGTTACTTGCTGACGTCGTTGTTCCTTCGTTTCCTTGCAATGTGGCGGCCCGAATACACCAGTGTGCCTCTTTAATGCGTTTTTTCTTATTCTAGCCGGTGCCAAAAATTTGGGTGTCCTAATTAATGCTTTTTTTGGGCCTGGCAATTTTTTGGGTTGTGTTGCTTCCCTTCTAGTACTGGTCAATTTTAAAGCAGCCACGACCTAAAACATCCCCTCCCTGAAGCCCGAAACTCTCCCCAAACCCGAAACCCCACCTAAGCCTGAATTGCCTAAACCCTAAACCCTCAACCCTAGCCCCTTTTCCACAGGCTTGAACTGAGCTCGCCCGGCCAAATCCCTCGCAACCCTAGCCCCTAAACCCTCAAACCCTGACCATACTGTACTATTACTGTAGTAACTAGTACTTCTGTACTACTTCTGTACCATTATATGGAGCTACTATTGTACTACTACACTACTACCGTACTACTGTACTACTACTGTACTACTGTACCACTGTACTAGCATGGTACTACTACGGTACTACTGTACTACTACTGTACTATTACGGTAGTACTGTACTACGACTGTACTACAGCACAGTACCAGACCTCAGATTTCGCCGTTTGTGGAGGTGAGTAGAAGCTGGA